GTCCCTCGGCCCCTCCAATGCCCTGTGCCCCCACTCTTGCACTGCTCCATCCTGGCCAGCCCACCCTTCCGAGCCCAGCTCCTGGTTGAGGGATGCCCCACAGCTGCTTGCTGTCCCCAGCCCCACATACACTCCCTTCCTGGAGGTGCTTGGGTCCCTGGTGCCCACAGTCATTCTGCTTCCTCCTGCAGGACACAGACAACTCCGGTGCCACCATCCTGCACCTGGCAGCCCGCTTCGGTCACCATGAGGTGATCGACTGGCTCCTCCGCTTCGGAGGCAGTGACCCCATGGCAGCCACCAACACAGGAGCACTGCCCGTCCACTACGCCGCGGCCAAAGGGGATTTCCCTTCCCTGCGACTCCTCTTGGGACACTGCCCCAGGTAACAGCCCCCACTGCTGCTAGTAAGAAGGGCTCTGCCGGAGGCTTGGCACTCACCTTCAGGAGAGGGGCTAGTGGGAGACTGGGGTACCCACTGCTGCCCCATTCCTCCCTCCAGCCGCTGGGCAGGGTGCCAGCACTGGGGATGAATGCTGCAGCCACCCACATCCTCCAGCTCCAAGGGCAATGTGGCCGAGTTATCAGGCCGGGCAGTCAGCTGCACCTTCTTTATGGCCCAGAAAGAAAGGGTGAGGAGGACAGCTGCGAGTGCTGGCAGAAATATTGCCACCGGCCACTGAGTCGGCTTCTGGGCTCCTGGTGCAGGGCGAATAACACAGCCGTAACTTTGTCTGCCTGCCTGTTATGTAAATGGATTTACGGCTTACCGCCGAGGAGAAGGGCTTGCTCCTGCGCACAAAGACAACCTTCCACATGCCCACGGCCACGGGCGTTGCTGGACGTGACAGCCTCACTCAGACGGCTTCATTACGGCAACATCTCTGCTTTGGCTCCTGAGCAGTACCTGGAGCCAAGCTGGTCCTCCAGGCTATGTGGCACAGCAGCCCATTGGGCCTGTGGTGCCAGGCCTTTCTACGAGGCTGCAGGAGGTGATTAGGTGGCCCCTAATCCGATTTCCTGCAGTGGGCAGAGGCCACTAGAAATAACCCACAGACCTGGCCAAAGTGGAGCCGGGGGGATGCGCTGTTGCTCCATGCTGTCCCTGGCAGGCTCCAGGACTGCAGATGAAAGGGGTTGCACAGCTTCCCCACATCCGGGGTGCTCCAGAGGCAGCAGAGCTGAACCAGGGTTCAGCACCCCTCTGTCCCTGGGGACCCCAGACTCCCTCATCCCTTCCAGGCAGGGCCACAGAGCCCATCGAGGGATCCCTACATCCCATGGCACTCACTGGCCAGAGCTGCCCCAGCCCCAGCCCTGGCTCTTTATCCCCTTGCCCCAGGTGTGCCAGCTTAGCCCTGAGCACCTCTGGGATTAACTCTTGCAGCCCCAGCCCAGCCCCAACCCAGCCAATGCTCCCGCTCGGTGCCCGCTGTGTCAGCCCCGGTGTGGCGCAGTGCTGGCGTTGGCTTTCACACTTCTTGTCAGGGTTCCTTCATTGCTGTCACCGCCTTCCCCCTGAATTATTTAGGGCTGGCCCTGCTCCCTGTGCCTGCCCAGAGGCTCCATTACAGCTGCGAAATTCAATCCCCAGTGCTGCCGCAGGATGCTGGCGCTCCCAGCCCACCTTCACACCAGCCCAGAGGGTCTCTGGCAGCCGGTGGCCCAGCATGGGGTCTCAGCCATCTGGCAAAGCAGTTTACTGGTGCTGCCCAATTGGCTTAACCCCTTCCCAATTAGTGGGAAAAGCCAATCAGGGACTGACTATGTGCCTGTGCTCCCACTGTCCCCTGCACCCCAGACTGCCACCACCCCAGCCTCATCCCCAGCCCCTGCTTGGGGAGAACCCAGCGCTGTGCCAGCCCAGCACTACTGAACTGTGGCATGGCACAGCATGGCATGGCATGGCACAGCACAGTGGGAAGGTAGTGCTGGCCACAGCCTGTCTCACAGTTACAGGGATCAATTATTAAGGGCCTGCGATCGTTGTGATAACAGACCAGAGTATTTATTGCTCTTCCTTTTTTAAATATTCAACAGGTTTTTTTATGGAGCACTTAATAAAACAGTTTCCTGCAGGGTGGGGAGGCAGGATATAGGATGTGGGATGTAGATGCAGAATATGGGGCCATGGGATGTGGGGTAAAGGATGTGGGATGTGGGAGTCAGGCTGTGCAATTTGGGCTGTGCAGTTTGGGACGAGGGACTGCCAAGGCAGTGGGACTGCCAGGGGGCAGCAGGGCTGGGCAGCACCGTAGTGCAGGTTGGCCTTTCCCCACCAGCTCCATGGCCGGTGCTGCCTAAGCTGCTTACTTTAAAATACGACTAAATTGCAGTGTCCAAAAACAGCCGGAGGAAGGAGCCTGAGTGCCCAGACCAAGACGGGGGCTACCCCGCTGTACCTCGCCTGCCAGGAAGGCCACCTGGAGATCATCCAGTACCTGGTGCAGGACTGTGGGGCTGACCCCCACGCGCGCGCCCATGATGGCATGACCCCACTGCACGCCGCTGCCCAGATGGGCCACAACACTGTCATCGTGTGGCTGGTAAGCGCTGCCGGGGCACGGCACGGTGGCACGTTGTGGTGGCACGGCATGGGGCTCACCGCACAAGCGCTCAGTCCACCTGCCCACACAGATGAGCTTCACAACGGTGAGTCTGTCGGAGCGGGACGCTGAGGGGGCCACAGCCATGCACTTTGCTGCCAGCCGTGGCCATGCCAAGGTGCTGAGCTGGCTGCTGCTGCACGGCGGGGAGATCACCACGGACGGCTGGGGCGGCACGCCACTGCACGATGCCGCCGAGAACGGCGAGCTGGAGGTGGGTGCTGGTGGCCAGTGGGATGTCAGGGCAAGGGGGGCTTCCCTCCAGCCCTGTCATGCTCCCCCACTCTCCCCAGTGCTGCCAGATCCTGGTGGTGAATGGTGCCGACCTCAGCATCCGTGACCAGGATGGCTACACGGCGGCCGACCTCGCCGACTACAATGGCCACAGCCACTGCGCCCAGTACCTGCGCACCGTGGAGAACATGGTATGGCAGCACCCAGGGCCGAGTGTGTGGGAAGCACACAGGGAGCACACAGGGCCCTGCTGCCCCCGCCCTGCTGCCTGACCCCATGGCTGTGCCAGCAGAGCGTGGAGCACCGCGTGCTGTCGAGAGACCCCTCAGCAGATGGGGAGTGCCGGCAGCCTGACTCGGGCATGTCATCGCCCAATACCACAGCATCGGTGCCCCAGGCGCGCTTCGAGGTGGGCTCCCCTGCCAGCACCTCTCCACTACACTCCTGCCACACAGCCAAGTCCCCAGCACCGGGAGAAGAGGGGCGGCCCCCCCGGGGCCCTGCCCGCCCGTGAGTGCGGGCCGGAGGGCGCGGGGCGGGGGGCAATGGACCACCCCCCCTACCCCTGCCCTGTGGCAGGGGTGCCTGACCGGCGGCTGCGGACCATGCCAGGCCGTACATGGACATGCTGGACCCTGAAGACGCGGCCGCGGGGCCGGGGCCCAGCAGCGAGGGCCCCCCCGCCGCCGCACCCCTTGCCCTTCCCCCCACCACCCTCCCCACCCCAACCACTCGCCACCCCCCAACCACCTCCCTGGCTACCCTGACTGCACCCCCACGCCCCCCACACTGCTGACATCTATGTGCGGGCCAAGAACAACCTGCGGCACGTGGAGAGCCAGGCGCTGCGCCGAGAGGTACGGCCCCATGCACGGTGTCCCCTGCACCGTGTCCCATGCACAGCTCTCTGGGGGGGACATGCCACCAGGCACCCATCCTCTCCGAGGAGCTGCTGCCTGCACTGGGAGGGGACAGTCTCAGCTAAAGGCTACATACCTGCAACACTAACACTGGGGGGCCTGGGGTGCAACCAGCAGCAAGGGAGCCAGCGATGTTTTGGTGGCTCCGTGGCACTGGGCAGCCCCATTCAAACACTGTGCTGGCTGGAGCACCTGGCAGCACCGTGCCATGGCAGCCGCACCCATGCAGCCCTGGCAGTGCCACCAGCACCACGCCGAGCTGGGCGTGGGCAGAGGCACAGGCGGTAACCCGAGCGGCCGGCTCCGGTGTCACCCGCGCCACAGGTGTCGGGTGGCACAGCCAGTGCTGCCAGCAGCTGAGAAGGCTCAGCCAGGCGTGCACAGGTAAGAGGGGTGCAGCCCCCCGTGGCGGGCTGGGGGTCACAGGGATGCAGTAGGTTCAGGGTTGCTCTGACCCCCTACCATGGTTCTCACCACCCCACTGGGGACGAGATTCCTGGGCATGGCCATGGCCCCATGGCCAGGGCACTGGCAAAGCCCAGCAGCACAGGGGATGGGGCATATGGGGTGGGGGGCTCGGTGGAGCAGTGTGTGCCATGTGCATGGGGGACTTGGGATTTCATAGTGCTCGCTGTGCACAGCCCTGGCTCCTTAGCACTTACCAGGGTAATGGGCTGTCCTGGGGAGCTGCAGGCGTGTGCCAGAGCAGTGCCAGAGCCGTGTGGGTTCTCCATGCAGTGGGGCTGGATGGCACGGACCCTTGCGCTAGACCGGGGCTGGGGCTGCTGGAGTGGGAGCTGGGCTTGGCACAGCGCCCACAGCAGCCGGAGCAGGAAACACCAAGCTGGCACTTGTTGACTTAGCTGGGGCTGGCAGCGGCAGCAAGCACCTGGGCTCACCGTGAAAGTGCCATGGGTGGAGGTGGCTCATGGGGAAATGTAGATAGTGGGGCCCCCAGCAAGGGGAGCTGTGACACCCCAAAGTCAGGAAACAGGCACAGCCCCCTGCAGTGCCGGCACTCGGCAGCAGCACGACCAGAAAAGCTGCTGTGGAATGCACCGGGGTGAGCCGAGGCTGCATTGCCTGAGAGCCCTGTTCAGAGGGAAGTTTGGAAACGGGCCCCAGCCCCGCGCGGGATAAGCTCCCGGTAATCCGCGGGGCTGAGGCTCGGCACTCCTGTTCCCAGGGGGTTATCCCAGGGGAGGCTCAGCCAGGATTCTGGGCACAGGCTAAGGGGTCACAGTGCCAGGCACTGATGCCACACACTGTCACTCTGGCATGCAGCCCCGGTACAGCCGTGTGCAGAGCAGACCCTGGGCACGCACCTGCCATCCCCACCAGCCCCGCATCTGCCCCCCAGCCACTGCTGGCACAGCCCTGCTCCACCACGGCTCTGCCCCATGGTCACAGCCAGGCACAGTAGTACTGAGGTGTGCTCCCCGTTGCAGCTGGCATCGCGTGACACCAGTCCCGAGGGTCTGCGCAGGGCTGACTCCAGCAGGCGATCGAGGAATTTCGGCAAACAGCCGAGCACCGGTGACTACTACAAGCACCTGGGGCACGTCGCGGCTGAGCAGCCCGGCCCCCGTCGAATGGCGCACAGCGAAGAGGTGAGCCCTGTGCCACGAGCCCGTGCACGGCTCACTGGCACCGGCACCACGCGACGCCTGCCTCTGCTTTCTCCCAGGCA